TGAGAAGGGGAGGGGAGAGGGAGAGAAGGGGAGGGGAGAAGGAGAGAAGGGGAGGGGAGAGGGAGAGAAGGATAATATTACGGATAGACCTAAGTTGCCTGCAACGATCATCGTAAACACGGTCAGGGCGGCGACGACGATGACGATGACGGGGCCGACGGCAGTGACGATGACGGGGCCGACGGCAGTGACGATGACGGGGCCCACGGCAGTGACGATGACGGGGCCCACGGCAGTGACGATGACGGGGCCGACGGCAGTGACGATGACGGGGCCCACGGCAGTGACGATGACGGGGCCGACGGCAGTGACGATGACGGGGCCGACGGCAGTGACGATGACGGGCAACAGCGTGGGTCTTACTCATCTTCCATCTCAGCTATGTTGATCACACGCACGCACGCACATAAACGTACGTACGCACGCACGCACACACACGCACGCACGCAGGCACGCACGCACACACACGCGTGCGGTCTCGTCTGTAGCGGAGCGCCCTCTACATTGCACCACATTGCGGCGACAACCTCTCACCAGACGGCGCGTCGTCTGTTTCAGATCAGTCAGATTCTCGGCCACAGCGAGCATCTGTACAGCAGACTGCCCCGCGGACTCTGGTACTGGCAGATGACAGAGGCCTTCTCCTACGCTCTGCTCGCTCTACTGGTAAGCCACACGCCTCCTCGCCTTAGAAACGGGGCGTTCCTGTTGACGCTGCTACTGCAGTGTATCTGGACTGATAGAGAGCTGTCTCTTCTTTTTTTTTCTCTATTTATTTCTTCTTCTTCTCCCTCTCCTTCTACGGTTTCTTCATGTACTTTTGTTACTTCTTTTTCTTCTTCTTCTTCCTCTTCTTCTTCTCCTCCTACTTTTACTTTCCGTCTTCTTTTTCATCATTATCATCATCATAAGGTTAAAAATATTATCCATTGCGGAAATGAAACTTGCTTACTATATCCCATCTGTCTCGCAATGGGTGGTCCAAAAGATAATAGAAGAACACGACGTTTCGTGTGCTACTGCAACACTTCGTCATCATCATCATGATCATCATCATCATCATCATCATCATCATCATCATCATCATCATCATCCTCTTCTTCTTCTTCTTCTCCTTCGTCTTCCTCGTCTTCTCCCTGCTGCGTTCGTCCTTGTTCTTCCTTTTCGTTCTCTTCTTCTTTTCCTTTTCTACTTCTCATTATTTTGTCTTCCCTCTCTTGTACTTCGTCATCGTCCCATTTTTTTCTGCAACAAACATTCAATAACAAATTTCGCCTGGTACCATTGCCAACCTATAACTAAAATATCCTGGTAAGGGCGTCGACGATGATGATGGCGTTGACGATGATGATGTGATGGGCGTGGTGGATAGATAGTGGCTTTACTCGTCCAGTGAAGATTAGGTGATACTCTTCAACATGTTCTGCTAGCATCTATGACAAATACGACATACGCCTATACGCTCTCCTATGACATTATTTGTATAGGAAGATTCTTCCTATGACATTACTTGTCATAGGAAGATGACAAATATTGGCGAGTCAACATCGTTCCGCTTTACAGCTGAAATTCACAGCTTGCGTCCAAAATAGCGCTCCTAAACTCCTATGATGCGCACAACACATACAACAATATTTGTTATAGGAAGAATTTTCCTATGACAAATAGTGTCATAGGAGAGCGTATATGCGTATGTCGTATTTGTCATAGATGTTAGCAGAACAGGCTCTACTCTTGCAGGCTGGTCGTATCTCCACCATCGTCGTCAAGTTTGGTCATGCAGTTAACCAAGACGTAGTTTTTTTAGCGCACGCGTCATCGTCATCGTCGTCGTCGTCGTCGTCGTCGTCGTCGTCGTCGTCGTCGTCGTCGTCGTCGTCGTCGTCGTCGTCGTCGTCGTCGTCGTCGTAAGAAGACATCATGGAAGCAATTAACAGCTCGAATTCATGCATGCTCGCAATTCCGCGTTCGCCCTCTCTCTCTCTCTCTATCT